AAACGCGATGAATCCTTCTCTCTGATTTTTTCTCCCCGAACATGAATATATGGATTTGAAGTTGAGGTCGATGGAGCCTCAGGGGGCCCATGAGACAGGGGGGTGCGCCCAAGGGGGCAGGCGCGCCCCCCACCCTCGTGGACAGGGTGTGGACCCCCTGGTCTTGATTCTTTTGCCAGTATTTTTTATTAGTTCCAAAGATATTCTCCGTGAAGTTTCAAGTCATTCCGAGAACTTTTATTTCTGCACAAAAATAACACCATGGCAATTCTGCTGAAAACAGCGTCAATCCGGGTTAGTTTCGTTCAAATCATGCAAGTTAGAGTCCAAAACAAGGGCAAAAGTGTTTGGAAAAGTAGATATGATGGAGACGTATCAACACACCCTGGGCCCTTGTGATCACCGTGTAAAGCGGTTGGTGCCCTTCTTCGGCTGCAAGAAAGGTAATATCTGGATAAAAATCGTGTTAAAATTTCAGCCCAATCGGAGTTACGGATCTCCAGGAATTTAAGAAACTGTGAAAGGCCAGAATCTGGGAGCGCAAAAACAGAAGGAGAGAGAGAGATCCAATCTCGGAGGGGCTCCCGCCCCTACGCCACCATGGAGGCCATGGACCAGAGGGAAACCCTTCTCCCATCTAGACGGAAGGTCAAGGAAGGAGAAGAAGGAGGGGGCCTCTCTCCCCCTCTCTCCCGGTGGCACTGGAACACCGCCGGGGCCATCATCGTGACGACGATCTACACCAACAACTTCGCCATGTCATCACCAACTCTCTCCCCCTCTATGTAGCGGTGTAACCTCTCTTTTACCAGTTGTAATCTCTACTTGAACATGGTGCTCAACGCTATATATTATTTCCCAATGATGTGTGGCTATCCTATGATGTTTGAGTAGATCCGTTTTGTCCTATGGGTTGACTAATGATCATGATTGGTTTGAGTTGCATGTTTTATTATTAGTGTTGTCATATGGTGCTCTCCATGTCGCGCAAGCGTGAGGGATCCCCGCTGTAGGGTTTGCAATATGTTCATGATTTGCTTATGGCGGGTGGCGTGAGTGACAGAAGCACAGACCCAAGTAAGTAGGTTGTTTGCGTGTGGAAATAAAGAGGACTTGATACTTTAATGCTATGGTTGGGATTTACCTTAATGATCTTTAGTAGTTACGGATGTTTGTTAGAGTTCCAATCATAAGTGCATATGATCCAAGAATAGGAAGTATGTTAGCTTATGCCTCTCCCTCATATAAAATTGCAATAATGATTACCCGTCTAGCTATCGATTGCCTAGGGACAAATAACTTTCTTGTGACAAAAAGCTCTCTACTAAAACTAGCTTAGTTGTTTCTTTATCTAAACAACCCCTAGCTTTTATTTATGTGATCTTAATTATCTTGCAAATTTATTCTATCACACCAACAAAGTACTTCTAGTTTCATACTTATTTTAGGTAAAGAGAACGTTAAGCGTGCGTAGAGTTGTATCGATGGTTGATAGAACTTGAGGGGATATTTGTTCTACCTTTAGCTCCTCGTTGGGTTCGACACTCTTATTTATCGAGAAAGGCTACAACTGATCCCCTATACTTGTGGGTTATCAGATATCATCAAGCTTGCCCACTGACAACAAATTCAGCCTTACGTCGGGAACATGCCTCACTCATCGAGCACCAATCTGCAGCCTGCATTTGTTTCAATGCATATAGATCCCCTGCCAACAATTGCTGACGAACCACTAAATCCGATTCTAACTTGTCCAGTAACACCACTAGTGTAAGATGTGAAATACTCCTTGTGTGATGTGATGTGGAAGGATGCACCTGAATCCACAACCCAACTCATGGCATCATCACGAACAACGCTATAGCATTCTTCATCTTGAATGACTAGATAGTCCTCATCTATTGTAGTCATGGTTGAGCTGCTCTCAGCCTTTTGCTCGGTTTTCTTTGCAAGTTTCCCCTCTGCAAGCTCTATTTTGTACTTCCTGCGCTCGCTCTTTATGTGTCCTGGATTGCCACAATGAAAGCAAGTAATATATTTTCTCTGTTTTGACTTTGATCTCCCCCTGGATTTGCTTCTGGCTTGCTGAAGTCTTGTATTGTTGCGTCCATGGTTCTCATTATTCCCATGGGTTTCAGCCACATACGCATCAGAAGAAGAGCATCACCCTTTTCCTTCTTTTTGGCTTCTTCATTCAACATGCTATTCTTCACCATCTCCAAAGTAAGCTTCCCATCTGAAGCCGAATTGCTAAGTGACACAACAAGCATGTTCCAGCTATCAGGCATGGAACTCAGCAGCAACACTTGCACTTCATCCTCAAAGTTGATCTTCATGGCTGAAAGTTGATTTATATGGCATTGTAAGACATTCAAGTGCTCAATCACACTTGTGCCATCTCGGTACTCAAGCTTTGCAAGTCTTTTGATCATTGAGGCCTTGTTCATTGATGTCTTCCTCCCATACATAGACTCCAACTTCTGCCACATCTCGTACGCATTTGTGCCATTTGCAACACGGTGGAATATATTATGGTTGATGTACAACCGAATCATACCTACTGCTTTTCTGTGCAACACTCTCCATTCTTCCTCTGTGACACCAGTGGGTATCTTGTCTTTCACAATTGGCTTATACAAATCCTTGCAATAAAGGATGTCTTCCATCATGGGTTTCCATAATGGGTAATTGGAAGAATCAAGTTTTATCATGCCACTTGTAGTAGCGCTTTCTTCCAAAGCCATTGTGAGCAGCACTTCCAGTAACAACCAGGCAAATGAGATTTGCAACCTCCTAAGCAACCAAGGCTCTGATATCACTCTGTTGGGAATTAGTACACAAATGTACTTGTGGTTAACTAACAACTGCAGGGGAAACTAAGTAATCTCAGCACCACATCATGTACTAACTCAAGGATTGTTGCTTAGCACGGAAGGAAACATATGCAACAGCATATTTGGAGGCAAAATATGTTACTTAGCAGGCAAGGCACTCCTCAGCCGAGTGTCTTGTGGTAGGAGTGACTTTTCTGGGCAACAGCAAGCATCAACAAAGAGACACCAGATTTTTACGTGGAAAACCCCCCAACTTGAGGGGGAAAATGTGGGATACAACAAGTTCTTCTCTAGACAACACTAGAGGATCTCATACATCAAGATTTCTGAATCTTGGATGAACACAATAAGATTTGGGGCTCAAGAACTAGGGATTGGAATAATCTCACCAAAGATGGTGGAACCGCAGTTTGAAGGAGACAAGGTAGTAGATCTGGACCATCACAACCTTGGGAAGGAGCTCCCTTTGCTTCTTCCTTCAGTCTTCCTCTTCTTCCTTTGCTCTCTTGGTTTTCTCTCTTCTTCTCCCTTGGAGGATGAACTGATTTTTGTCACTCTTGATGGTGGTTGTTGGATGGAGGGTAAAGCATCCCCATCTTCTCATGTGCAAAGTCCAAAATGACCCTAGGTCATAACTCTAATGTGTAGTGGGCTTCTGCGCCTCTTTGGGCTATCTGAAAGGCCTCAAATGGTCATCTCCTTACAGCCCACCTGAGGAGGATATCCCAACAATTTTTTCCTCACGGTAGGTTCGACCCATTTTCTTTCAGTAAGAAAATCATCGATGTCCTTAATTATCTACTCAAATGGCCAAATATGCAGAGCTGCAACTCATAGAGCACTTATAGACGGACTTTGGCAAACTGACGGTCACATCTCAAATTTCCTTTTCACAATTAGACATCTCAATTGTCATACCTCAAATCCATACAGAGTCATAAAACGTAAACATAAACGATGCAACAAACATCGTTCGGCTACTACATCAGAACATGCGATCACACTACCAAATTTGACATGTTTTACCTACATACTAACTAGGGAGAAGATCGTCCATGCCTACCCTTGCCCTTCCCGGTGTCCTTGACTTCCTTCTCGCGGAAGTAGCGGTCAAAAATGTAGTATGGATCAAGCCAGATCTGCTCTTCGCCGGAGTTGTCCAGCCCGTCGCTCCCCTCCTTCTCCTCCTGGGGGGGAGGGGGGTCTGGCCATGGCACGAATAGCCTGATTCTCCTCTAGGGCGAGGGCACGCGTGTTCCTCTGCTGCCGCATCCTTAAGATGCGGGCGCAGATGGCTTCCTCCTCTCAAGCAGTGTGCGCCACCACATCCGCCGCCTTTGTCACCGGCATGTCGGCAGCAAAGCGGGCCTCGTCCGCCCTCATCCTTTCCTTCCCACGGCATACACACCAGCCCCGCTAGCACTCATACTCCGGCCGACCAGTGACGGGGAAAGGGAGATTGGAAGGCTCCCGGGAGGACCACGACTTTAACGAGCTAAGTGGTGCTTAGTGGGGGTGAATTTTGCATTGTCCAGCCTAAAATGACATAAATTGCAACTTTTTTTCATGTGGCTCTTTCAACCAGGTGCAACCGTGGAAACGCAGGCAGGCAGGATGTCCGCAGCCACGTCTTCGACCTGATGCGAGTGTTGAAAGGTACAGCGTTTCCTATTTCCAGTAGCGTGTTGGTAATTTGGGTAACGGGAATATTACTGTCTAAACCATTTTTTGCCTTCACTAACATACAAGAAAATTTGGTCATCAAGAGACCATGCAATGCCCCTTCCACAGCATTTCCAGTTGATCACGTTGTTTCGGGATGGAAAATGAACTTTGCACATGAAATCAACACAAGAGATAGCAATTCAGAAGACACGCTGACAAACTATGCCAAGACAAGTCAATACTACAATGTATCAAGTCTGTCGGAGTGGCGAGTACAGAGTACAAAGCGGACATAGTAAAACCATGATGGGCAAACAAACAGCGCCACGGACAATTTAACACCCACGAAAACAATCTGATAGCTAGCTCTTTGACAGAGAGCTTTATCTTTCCAAAACACCCACATTATCTGTCAAGACTATATAGTTTATAATACGTAAAGGCAGTATTAGTCCGAATATCCAGCTTATCCAGATCCATAGAAGCCCCTGCCGAGATGCTTCAAGCCTATATATCACGAAATTACAGACAGGTGGTTAGTTGCAGAAACCAATCGAGCAAGACGCCAACGAGAGGAAAAACAGAGTAAAACTAGGTAGCAACAATAGAAGAGAAAGATGCAGACTAGAGCATTTTCATATACTAAAGCTGCCAGGTATAGTTTATTTCCATGGACCAGGTGGCAGCTTGGGGAATCATGTGTGTTTGCACTAATTCAAAACCATCAAATGTTAATAAAGGATAGAATGGACCTAGCTTCCATAAGTATGGATGTTCGAACATTTGGTCAAAAAACAAGGCACATAGTAAAAAGGCCAGCTGACGCACCTTGTTGGCAATGTTGTTGGACAGCCAGTCAAGGCCCTCGTACAACCCCTCTCCAGAGGTAGCACATGTGCTCTGGATGTACCTGAAATGATCATCAAAACATAAGATCAAAGCACATATAGTAAATTGAGTCATTATGGAAAAGGCTATAAAATATACTACTCCCTCCGTTCCAAAATGTAGCGCCTATAGATTTTTGCAATAGTCAAACATTACAAACTTTGACCATATTTATAGAGAAAAATAGGTACATCTAGAATACCAAATGCACATCATTGGATACATCATGAGTTCTATTTTCAGAATGTACATGTTTAGTATTGTAGATGTAGACTGTTTTCTGTATACACTTGGTCAAAGTTGGCAAAGTTTGACTTCTACAAAAATCTATATGCACTACATTGTGGAATGGAGGGAGTATGTTGGATGCTGCCAAATGAGTATTTTACTTGATTGCTTAATTTGTGTAACAATAGTAGTACCACCTCAAGACAATGCTATACACAGATGAAGTGTTTCATGTTTTTGTTCCTTCCCATACATAGAAATGTACTTACACGAAATAGGCATGTTATTGAAGAAACGGAAATCAACCGTAAAAATATGGTGCAACAGTGCACAAACTTTCATTCACCATAGATCAGAAACCATACCAGTGTCGCTGGCGCAGAGAATGCAGGCCAAGCTTGTCAGTGATTTCAGCAGCGTTCATGGCATTAGGAAGATCTTGCTTGTTGGCAAACACCAGCAGCACAGCATCACGCAGCTCATCCTATAACAATAATACAGCATTGCCGTCATTAATAATTGTGTCACTGAAATGATGATAAGAGCTAAACTTCCACAAGGCAGCATCTTAAAACAGTAATATTCCCTTGTCAGAGAGAGACTAGTACATTTACTACTATGATTATTATGCTAAGTATTCCCTCCATAAAGAAATATAAGAGCATTTAGATCACTAAAGTAGTGATCTAAACGTTCTTATATTTCTTCATAGAGGGAGTATAATAGACAAGAGATTACATCCAAGAAGTATCCGACAACCTAGTGAAGGAATCTACAAAACGTAAGCCAATTATGAATTTAAATAGTGGTCTATGTGTTGACATTGCTTTATTCCCCGTGGTGATACCTCATTCAGCATCCGGTGAAGCTCATCTCTTGCCTCAACAACACGCTCTCTGTCATTGCTGTCCACGACAAAAATGAGACCCTGGGTGTTCTGGAAGTAGTGCCTCCACAGGGGCCTGATCTGTATTGAGCAAGTGCATAAAACATTAGATGACAAGCACACAAGGAAAATAGATCACGGCATGAAGATAGAAATATTCAATACAACACGAAGGCATGTTTCAAAATTCCAATTAGAAGATGAAGTTAACAGCAATTCAAAGAAGGCATAGGCATGCACCTCAGTGTAATTTCAATAGTGCAACTGCTATATAAATGACTAAACTAAGGTATATATGTGGCCAAACAATAATTATTGGCCTTCAGGAAATTTGCTTACCTTGTCCTGACCCCCGACATCCCAAACGGTGAAACTAATGTTCTTGTACTCTACAGTTTCGACATTAAACCCTGCAGATTCAAAAACATTCAGATTTCATCAGCATATGTAGACAGTGATGCAAAGTAGCAGAGTAGATCTAGAACATGAACATGGTCAAAATCCTTGATAAAATCAACATTTAAAAAATAAGCACCTGAACACACAGCAACAGCATGAGGTTATCTTTGTTAATAGAAGCATGTCAAGGTCAAACACCAGTCAGAACTCTTAAGGGAGGTTATGCTGCTCATGAGTTGGCCACTTTGGAATGATTCAGCTTTCGCTAGGATTCATGGTTATTAAACATAATTGTTTTCACCCAATATAAGTACCAATCAAAATGACATTAATGAGTGTAATGATTCATCACTATGACAGTGCTGACACACCTTAAATCAGTAATCACTATGACAGTGCTGACACGCCTTAAATCTGTAATCACTATGACAGTGCTGACACACCTGAATCTGTGTGATCACTATGATAGAGCTAACACACCTGGATCTGTGTGATCACTACACAATTACAGTGCATACAGTCTATCCTGCCTTGACTGAACTCCCAAGCTCAATTATCAAACTGAACTTGGTGATATGCAAAACAATTAGCAGACAACTTGCAATCTTAATCATGAATGGTTTGTCTTCAATTAGGCTTCTTTTGGACAACAACTTGCTGCTTTTCAAATATAAAAGTTTTAATGTACATACAAATAACATGGCACGTGAAGTTCATTTACAGAAAGTAGCACATACATAAGCTACCAAAATAAGATACAAATGAGACATATAATCAACTCGAGATCAGCTTCAAGTTATCTTCATTGTCAAAAGCATTAATGCTATTCCTAAGGCAGGCAAGACCATCTTTGCACTAAATTGGTCTCTCAACTTGCTTACCATGGAACACCCATTACATGCACACGGTCCTAAGCTAAAGCTGCCGCAACATATTGAGACTATATTATTTGCTACAAAGTAACAGCAATATAAACAACATGCTGCTAACAGAAAATTAACATAGAACGAGGGCTTACCGATTGTGGGGATGGTGGTGACGATCTCTCCGAGCTTGAGCTTGTAGAGGATGGTGGTCTTACCAGCCGCATCGAGACCGACCATGAGGATCCTCATCTCCTTCTTGGCGAAGAGCCGGCTGAACAGCTTCGTGAACGTGAGCCCCATCTCCGCTCCTGCGCTGAAACCAAACGAAACAAAATTAAGGCGAAAGCTTCAACCCCATAGATCCACACAGACACAGGCTCGTTGTATAAGAATTATTAAGAAAAAAAAAGTTTCCAGAATCGAAGCCACCCAACTAGATCTACGAGATCTGATGCGAGCAGCAGCCAGATCCGCTGCACTGCGCACGAACAGCGCCAAACCGGACCAGATTCGCGACCAACTCGCGCGGGAATCGTGCCGGATTCCCGAGCACCAGCGTGGAAACAAAGCTGAGCCGACCGAAGCCGGTCAAACGCGGCAGATTCCTCAAATCACACCGTCAAAAGACCGACCGCATCTACCGGACACCGACGGGGTGATGATTGAGATCGAACAGCCCCGATCCACCAGAACCAAGCAGACTGAACACGATCACGGCAACAGAAAAATAAGATCACGAATCGGCCGACCTAACCGCCGATCGGATCAGAGGAGGTGCCGCATCGAGCGCGGGGAGGGTCGACGGGGGGAGGAGAGAGATCCGTCGAATGGTGGTTACCGAGATCGCGGCGCCTGCTGTCCTGTGCGCGCGCTGGGCTCGGTGATCTCCTCTTCTCTTCCTTTGCCCTCCTCGCGCCGGGTTCCTCCCTGGTTCGGGATCGGTGGCAGGAGGAGGAGGAGAGAAATGGATGAGAGAGAGGGAGGCCGAGATGGCCGCACGCGAGGAAGTCTATATAGGGAGGTGCTTGGAGGGTCACCGGCAGGTGGGGCCGGATTTCTTCGTGGAAGGCGCATCGAAGGCACGCAGCGTGGGCCAGCTGGTGCGTGGGTCCATCTGTGTGCGGTGCCATTAACTTGGGCGGTAAATGTGGACCGTGTCCATCGAGAATCAGGTTTAGAAAATAGCGGTGATTCAACATTCATTTCTCTTTTGACATTACAGATTTTTCATGTACTGTACTACTACCTCCGTTCCTAAATGTAAGTCCTAGTGGAATCTCTACAAAGAATTATATTTAGGAATCGGAGGGAGTAGGTAGGTATGTGCCTGAGAGTTGTCATGGAGAGCAAATATCTTTTTACAACACAATAACAGGAATAGTACTATGGTTTAGTTATAAAGTACTCCCTCCGTCCGAAAATACTTGTCGGAGAAATGCATAAAAATGGATATATCTAGAACTAAAATACGTCAGATACATCCATTCCTCCCACAAGTATTTCCGGACGGAGGGAGTAGTACTCCGCCAATAAGGAGTACTCCCTCCGTCCGGAAATACTCGTCAGAAAATAGATAAAAATGAATGTACCTAGAATTAAAATATATCTAGATACATTCATTTTTTTTGACAAGTATTTTTGGACGGAGGGAGTACAAACTAATATGGCTTGGTTATAAAGTATAAATTTCCTACCATTTTTTTGAGAAAAAATTCCGTTCTATTTATCTTCAATCTTGGTCGTACAACGAACATCAGAAATAATAAAAATTACATCTCGATACATAGATCATCTAGCGACAACTACAAGCACTGAAGCGAGCCGGAGGCACGCCGCCATCATTGTCTCTCCCTTGCTGGAGTCGGGCAAAACTTGTTGTAGTAGACAGTCGGTAAGTCGTCGTGGTAAGGCCTCAAAGGACCAACGCAGCAGAACAGCAACCGCCACCGATGAAGAGTAGCGTGGATCGAAAAGATCCAACCTGAAAACACATTAACGTAGACGAACTACGACTAAATCTGAGCAAATCCACCAAGGACAAATCCGTCGGAGACACACCTCCTGTCATTTCTTAAACTAACAAATACTCATCCCTTTGTCTTCTCTCCAAGGAAAGGCGCCTAGGGTTTCTGCCTTCCATCGGCGGCGCCGCCGCCGATTTGCCACGTCTCATGCGGCCTTAGGGCCATGGGTGCGCGATGGATCCTGGCCCTTGCCGACGGGATGGCTCCGTTTCTAGGTGCTTCTTCAAGTTTTGTTAGGGTTTGTGTCCTGCTGAGGAAAACGAGACGGCGGCGGCTTCTTGTCAACTACGAAGGTGTCTGTGACGACTTCGTCAATCTCGAAATGACGTGTCGACTCAGTCTCTCGGGGGTTCTCATAGGGATAGGACGTGTGTGCGCGTTCATAGAGGTGATTATATGTGCATATATATGACACGTGCGTATGTATGAGCATCTGTGTATGTTTTGTGTTAAAAAAAGATTGACTCGATTCATAAATGAAACCGGATAAAAAGATGCACTAGGGCCTGGTGATCGTACGCTTCAGGACGCTCCCGCGAGCGAACAACACTGTTTTGAGCTGGGAAGCTCCCTTGAGCGAATGATGCCTCGGTTTTTTGGAGGGGGTATAGGGTTTTTATTCCATGATCACAGGTTTACAATCGATAGCAACAAGCTTCATAACACAGGTAGGGGTGGTTAAGCTAGCACACAGTGTTATCCCCGCTATGCCAAACGTGCGTCAAGCAATCGGCAACCCTATTTTGTTAATGAGAATTTTTAAGAGAAAAAACCTTATCTTCCATCGAGTGTTTGATCTCGGCAATCAAATAGCCATAATTTGATTTGCCCAAAGACTTGTCTGTAATCTTCGACAAAGAAGTGGAGCAATCAAATGGCTATAAGCTAATTTGTCCAAAGATCTATATGTAATTGCGGAATGGAGCAATGAAATGGTCATAAGTTGATTTATCGAACGATTTGCCAAATCTTGTGCTTGATAACAACATATCTCATGTGAGCAATTGTTCTCTTTGTGATATGGAGGACTCCTGGATGCATTCGTTGCTTCGTTGCAGCATGGCTCGGGGCATATGTGCATTATTTGACCAATATCTGGTGGATGTAATAAGCAACATAGTTGAACCTAAAGCAAAACATTGGTATTCACTTTGATGGATTTGATGTCTCACATCGATTTTGTGACAACTCTAGTAACCCTATGGGCGATATGGTATGCACGCCGGAAGGCCATTCATGAACAGGCCTTTCAAAGCCTTCATGCAGTACACCAATTCATCATGTGATATCCAAAGATTTGGAGGCTTCCAAACCAAAGAAACTGATGAACCATCGGGTGGAGATTATCCAATTGAGGAGAATTTGTTGGACTCCACCATCTAGGTTCACAAAACTCAAGGTGGATAGGGTGTTGTCAAGATCTTCGAACATTGGCTTTTTTGGTGTTGTTTGCAGAGACTCTGAAGGTATATATCTAGGAGCATCCAGCATTAATTGTGAAGATGTGATTGAACCTGCAACACTAGAAGCATTGATGTGTTGTGACGCCCTGGCCTTAGCAAAGGATTTATCTTTGAGCAATATAGTGGTTGCATCATACTACAAAGAAGTGATTAAAGACATCAATCAAGCAACTCGAGGGAAGTATGCAAGTATCATCTGAGAAATCCTCATGACTACAAGGGAGTTCCAATCCTACCCGAGGGACGGGAGTCCAATATCGAGACACATAGCCTTGCCAAGTTCGCTCTAAATCTTTCTGTTGGTAGACATATTTGGCTTAGTCAGACCCGTTATATTCAATGTATCATTATGAACTCTTTGAGTGGTCAATAAAGTGAGCGAATTTGTCCTAAAAAATCATACTAGAGTAATACTGATAAGGTAGTCCGATGGATTGCCGAACCAATACATTCCATTATCGCATGTATCTCAGCCTCCAGAGCATCATTGCAGTAGTAGAGACATTTATATATCCCAAAAATCACGGAGCCCTCATCATCTCCACATATCTTACCAGCCCCCCTGAACCATTCTCTTGACAAAAGGAGCCATTAATAGGCAATGTCATCCTACCAGGAGGGAGTGTCCATGGCTATGACGGTGGCTCTGACAGGCGGCTTCGATTGCTGTTGCTCCACAAACACCGGTGTCAGAGCCGGATCCTGCAGATCCCCCGGTAGTGTATACTAGCTGGGCGACTTGGCTAGATGGTGACAAAAACAAGGATTTACCCAGGTTTAGTCTCTTACGGAGGAGATAATACCCTACTCATGCTGCTCGTATATTGCGTTGGAATGTGTATAAAGTATAGGTAAAGTGCCAAGGGATTGTATGTTGTGTATGTGTTTAATTAACTAGCCCAACATTGGCTTATATAAGATGTCGACAGACTAGGATTACATGAGTCCTAGTCGACATAGTGGAGAGGAGTCCTCCATGGATCTGGCTTCGTTGTCTTGAATGACAATGACTCCACAGTTTTCTAGTAGAATGCCATGGGCCGCCCAACGTGGTCTAGGGAAGAACCGACATAGAGGTCCTCAAGCAGGCCCACCAAGCCAATAGACGACATGGCGAGGGACCCCTGGGCTATTACACCAGCAGAAGCCCCTAAGGCAGTATTCAAGCTTGGTTGCACCTCAGATAGCTCAGAGTTGTGCATCGTCTTCAGTCCTCCGAGGTTGAAGCCAATTTCCTCCTAATAGCATCAGCTTGCAGTCGACCTCCACTCGTCAGACTACACAAGAAGTGGAAGAGATCACCTAGACCTTGACCTGTTGACGAAGACAGCGGATACGTCTCCAACGTATCTATAATTTTTATTGTTCCATGCTATTATATTATCAATGTTGGATGTTTTATATACACTTTCAATCAATTATATATCATTTTCTGGGACTAACCTATTAACTTAGTGCCTAGTGCCAGTTGTTGTTTTCTTCTTGTTTTTGGTCTCGCAGAATATCAGCACCAAACGGAGTTCAAATGCCACAAAACTTTTTGGAGATTTTTTTGGACAAAAGAGACACTAGAAGCTTCGAGAGAAGACCAGATGATGGCCCGTGGGCCCTGATACGTCACCAACGTATCTATAATTTTTTTATTGTTCGATGTTGTTATCTTATCATTCTTGGATGTTTTATAATCATTTTATAGCAACTTTATATCATTTTTTCGGACTAACCTATTGACATAGTGCCCAGTGCCAGTTGCTGTTTTTTTGCTTGTTTTTTACTTCGCACGAAATCAACACCAAACGGAGTCCAAATGCAACGAAACTTTTTGGTGATTTTTTCTGGACCAGAAGACACACGATGGGCCAAGAAAGTACCTGAGGGGGGCTCCAAGGGGAGCACAACCCACGAGGGTGCGCCTGGGGGCCCAGGTGCGCCCAGGTGGGTTGTGCCCACCTCGGCCGCCTCCTGCACCACCTCTTTGCTCTATAAATACCCCAATATTCCAGAAACCCTAGGGGAGTCGATGAAAATCAATTTCAGCCGGCGCAAGTTCCAGAACCACCAGATCCAATCTAGATACCATCACGGAGGGGTTCATCATCCTCATTGGTGCCTCTCTGATGATGCGTGAGTAGTTCATTGTAGACCTACGGGTCCGTAGTTAGTAGCTAGATGGCTTCCTCTCTCTCTCTCTCTCTTAATTCTCAATACAATGGTCTCTTGGAGATCTATTTGATGTAACTCTTTTTTGCGGTGTGTTTGTTGGGATCCGATGAACTTTGAGTTTATGATCAGATCTATGTTTTTATCCATGAAAGTTATTTGAGTCTTTTGATCTCTTATATGCATGATTACTTATAGCCTCGTATTTCTCCTTAGAATCTTTGGTTTAGTTAGGCCAACTAGATCGATTTTTCTTGCCATGGGAAGAGGTGTTTTGTTATGAGTTCAATCTTACGATGCTTGATCCAGTGATAGAAGGGGAACCGACACATATGTATCATTGCTATTAAGGATAACAAGATGGGGTCTATTTCTACATAAATAGATCTTGTATACATCATGTCATCGTTCTTATTGCATTACTTCG